GAAGTTTACATATTTACCACCTGTAAATTTTGCAAGTTTATAATTAAGCTGGCATTACAATTTAGAATCAACAGCAGACTCACTTGGCCTGTTCATAGAATCATTAGAATCATTAAGGTTGGAAAAGACCTCTAAGATCATCCAGTCCAACCATCAATGTTCTCCATCCCTAGACTGACTTTCTGCTGAAAGTACCAGTTGAGTGACTAGTACAATGGAAAGGCATTCACATTTAAGCTGGCAAAAAAATGACCTAGTGTTAAAGTTCTACTTTTATATATCTGATTGAATGAGATGAATAAAGTGTGTGGTTCTCCTCCAGCAATTTATGTTCTGTCATTTTGCCTTTCAAAAGTAACAGCAGCAGAATTCTAGGCGAATTAAGTGAGGGTAAAATCATAACAAATGGTGAAACACTTACTTTGTAAACTTTCAAAGGAGACCCGGCTTAGATGTGTTCTGTTTGTTTCCTGTTTTATTTTCTCTATCATATTTCTTTTCACAGTGTTTAGTTTATTAGGGTGGGAACAGATTCAATTAATAAAGCCCAAGCCTGTGTTAACTATTACTATCATTGGAAAATACCCTGACATCAAGTGTATCTTTCAGATGCCTCTTTGGTGTTCACCAAGAAAATAAATGTCCCACTCCCATTGTTGTGGATATATAGTATGTACAAACTCTCAGCGTATGGGTAGGTTGTACTCTTTGTGGTGTTTAACATTTATGATAAATGCAAATGTTTTCCTGTAACACGTTTATTTGCAGGGGATGTGATCAGCCTTGGAGACCGACAGCTTACTGTCATGCACATGCCTGGTCATTCAAGAGGCAGTATTTGCTTACACGACAAAGACCGGAAGATTTTGTTCAGCGGAGACGTGGTGTACGACGGATCTATGATTGACTGGCTTCCCTACAGCAGAATAAGTGACTACATTGCAAGCTGCCAGCGCCTGATGGAGTTAGTGGACAGAGGTCTTGTGGAGAAGGTACTGCCTGGTCACTTCAACATATTTGGGGCAGAAAGGCTGTATTGTTTAGCTTCCAACTACATTTCGCAAGCTGGGGTTTGTCACAAGGTTTCTACTTGTGCCATGAGATCCATTGCAAGCATAGCACTTCGCATTACAAATCCGAGAGTCACTTCTTAGTGACAGTGCATTTTGTGTGATCTGTTCCCTGTTGAAAAACCAAACGGCTTGTGAAAGCGTTGATACAAGCAAAAGCAGTATGCATTAGTAAAGAGCTGGCAAATTGATACAGATGAGCTGCAAAAATTCTCCCTATTTTTGCCTACTTTATTCCTATTTTTATAAAAAACACATAAGCTAGTAGCTTTAGCCAAAACTACCATTTTTCTTTCTGTTTTTTCAGGGCATGTTTGCACATGTATTGTGATTGAAATATATTGTTTTATTTTTGTTATGATTCTGACAGACGCATATATGCCAAAATGAGAGGTTTTACATTCATGCCTGACACCTTGTTGATGTAGCACTAGGTTTGTGACTATTCACTCGACTCCTGCTCAGGTTTTGGCCTAAAGCAGCTCCTGCCAAGACCTGGTGTGTGCTGGGAGCAGCGCCGTCAGGTCAAAGCAAGAACAGCACCTACGCAGGACTCAGTGGGCAGAAAGAGGCAAGGGCTATTCTGCAGCCGTTGTCACCCGCCGCTCGGTGTCTGTTGCACCCATCACCGCCTGCATCTTTGCAAAGTAGCTGTCTGGCAGTTTCTTTAGAATCCATTAACATACGGAAATGCTATAGACCAAACTTCCAAGCTGGCAGGTATAGATACATCAGCTTAACCAAAAAGCTTTTGATTCGGATCCAACAGCAGACGGACTGTTGAGGCTTTCGTGCTTCCCGGTGTGGTGCAGGGGACGCCTGCACCACGACAGGAGCAGAATGAGCACTCTCACCGTGGGCTAGGGAACCGTTTTGCTTATAGGCGTGCAAGTTAGGAATGAAGAGAATTTGTGAACTAATGAATTAATGTGTTAGACTAATCTGTACAAAGTGGATTGAGCCCCTGCTTGATGTGCTTGGTTTTTTTTGGATGAGCTCATAAAAAAGAAATTATTTACAGAGTACATTGTTCTGTAAATTTGAGAGAACTGGACTGTGACAAGCTAAAACGTTTTATTTGTGTTTAGGAGTATTTTTATGTGACTGGATTGTAACTCGGTTGTTAATGCTCTGTGGTAGGGGAAGGATGGAGGCTTTAACATTACCTTGCCCTACTGCAGGTGCTGGACTAAACAGCCAGTACACTTGTTACCACAAAGTGAATGTAACTTCAACTGTTTACTGTTTGCTTATGAAGTGTTTGGTGTGTTTGTTTTTTTTTTTTGAAAAGTAAAGTGAGTCTGTTCCAAAAGAAGTTTAATACATTGAAAATGCTAAATGACATTGTAACTCGCTTATGAAAATTGAATGTGTGATGTTTAAAACCTGCTGAAATGGTTGAAGTTTGTGTAATTATTCTAACCGTCTATATATATTTAACTTTCTTAAAAGGACACTGTCTGATGTTATTTTTGTATATAGACATATATACTTTCCTAAAAAGTGTGCAAATGTTTTTTCCCAAATTTTAGTGGAGTCTAACCTCATTTGTTTGGCTTTCACTGCATGGGGAAGCTTCCCCCTTGTCCCCCCCATTATATCCAACAGAAAGGGAGCCCAGACTTTGGGTTCTAAGGCATGGGGGAGTAGAAATTGATAGCCGTCTTAATAGGTGTAAATTCTGGTGAAAAAAACAAGTTGCAGAATAAAAAGCATCTGTCTAAAAATCATGAAAGAGAGTATCTTCTGTAATGCTTTTCTCCTTTCACAGATCTCTGCAATCCTGCCTTTACTATTTGAATATATTCTTCACCAGGATTTGTACCGATAGGCTGTGATGTGCCTGGTTCTTATTAGCAGTGCCTGCCTCCAAGCTGAAGCAAAATTGTGAGTGGGCACGACAGGTGTAGCAATGTGGCACTTGAAAGACCTGTTATCACTTGGATCATAGTCTCTTTTTTGGAGAAATCCAAGTACATCAGTGTATTACAGGAGAAGCGTTTAATCAGTGGGTAGTTCTGGTCATAAGTGAAGCTACGAGCTTTTTATCTTGGCCTCATTTGGCCAGAGGAAGAAATACAAAACGTTAGCCTGGGAAGCAAAAAAGCCATTCAGTGAAGAGGCCCAGAACAAACTCCACAGTGTGGTTTTCCTTTTTAGCCTGCTGACGCATGCTGCTATTTACATAGCAGTCTGGACACTTCTTGATAGCCAAGGGTTCACAGTGGGCAATCACAGATCTAAGGGGGCAAGCGGGAAAAGTCAGAATGGCTGAAGAAACATATAGTACTGAAGCTTACACCAGTTATCCAGGCATAATGTCACTGGTTACCCAACAGTAATTGATTAAATTCCTTCAAATTAGTGGCATAAAACCAGCAGTAGTCTTGCTCTATGCTTTGTGAAGGCTGTAGGTGATAATCCCGTGCAATAATGTGGACAGAGAGACCTCTTCTGTCACAAAGCCTGCCAATAGGTATGCCAGTTGCTAAAATTTCGTGAATGTTCATTAGGAGACTGAGATCATGCTGAATTAGCATTTTGTGTTATACCACTATTGGTTTGTTTATTTGATGCAATATTAGAAGCCCTGTAGCCAGATTTACTGTATTGTAAAACCTGAGCTTCTAAGAGAAGGCTCACAGGCATACCAATTCAAAAGGAAAGATATTCTCCATCACTTCTGTTTAAATCTGTGCTCAGTATCAGCTACAAGATCCTTAATGTCCAGATCACTGTCAAAATGCCCTATTAAGCTATGCTTAAGTCCATTAAGTATACACAGATAACAGCAATTGCTTGGGTTTTTTTCCTTGACCAAAATCTAGGGAATAGTTTCCTAGCTCAGAAGTGAACTTTACATGAACATAGCCCAAAATGGGGCGTGTTAGTAAGCTGCTGCTATAATCCAGTTGAAAGTAATTTTTGAGGGTCTCAAAATTATTTTTGTATTGTAAGAAATGCACTACTAGGTAAATGATACATCTTAAGTATAAAGAACTGGCTCTGACTATTTTTGTTAAGGATTACCAAGTTTTAGTCGTAAGACTTCGACAGTGTCCCTTTAACGCTATTGGATTAAATATTTAAAACATACATTGTAAGTTTAAATATTGCAACATCTTGGGCATTTAGAACTGTGTTGGTTTATTTGTAAAATCTAAATGTATGTTAATGCCGTTTTCAGTAGACTGGGGAGTTGACAAAAAAATCAGACAGGAAGTTTTGCTCTGTAATCTGTCAAGACTTTTGTGATGTTAACAAAAGTTTACGCATAAAAAATAATTCTATCATAGATAATCGTAATAAAAAATGTTATAATCCTATGCAGTCCAGTCATAATTTCTAGGTATTCTTTAAGAGAAGCACTTTTTCATTCTAAATGGAGTGTATAATCTTTAGAAGTTGCTAGTAGTGTTTTTTATGCTTCTGAGCAAGAGACTGCATTAGAAACGTTTACATATCATAGATGGATGCCGCAAAGCTTGTATAAAACCGTAAGTGGGTACTTCTTGAAAAAAACCCACATTTTAACAAAAATCAGAATTAGGTTTTCAATGGAATTCGCACACAGAAAATAGGGATGGGATGAAAGTATATATTTAGGGGTCAGTTTCAGTTTGTGGTGACCTAGATTATTTCCACACAAGACAGTAGCTAATGACAGCTGTTTACTGTACTTGAAACAAAAATGGTCACGCAGCTTCTGTTCAACACAGAAATAATGTTCAACAAGCATACTTGCTGTCTAGTTTCTGATACAAGATAAAACTCCTTATTAACTGATAAACTGTAGAAGTTTTGTGGAAATTAGTCCATGAATAACAAAAGCAGCAGCTATCATGAAAACAGCAGAAAAAAAATGTGCCCGTATAAAGCCAAGAAAAAATGAAGAAGGTGAAAGATGGGGTATCCTTCCTTCCAGACAACTGGTAACTGGACTTTGGGGATACACGGTTGCTCAGTTAATACGATGCATTTGTTTTCCTCCCAGAAGTTCCAAGGTCAAGGTGCAGTCTTCAAGTCAATCTCTTTGCACATTAGCACAAACACAATCTGATTTTCAAAGCTAGTTTACCTTGTTAAATTTTGAATTTTATGAGGTGCTGAGGACAGAATTTGAAGGCAAATATCGGTAGAAGAAAGATGACTTTATGAGGGAAATGCATGAATTGTAAGTAATTATGAGGGAAATAAGGCAATTAAATAAAGATAATTAAGAAATATTACAATGTTGGTTTTATCTAAAGAATAAAACAATCAGCCTGGGAGCAGCCAGCTGGGAGGCTCCACGTCTCAGTCTAGGTTATTAGGGTCCTCCACCCAGCCTTGTTCCTCTGTCCTTTTTGGTGATGCAGAGGAATCTTTCGTCATACAACCTAACAATCGGGACTAACCCAGCTGGTCGTGTGTCATCATTTCAAAGTGCTGTACAAGCGTGTATCAGTGATTCCCCGTTACATGTCTAGGAACAAGGTAACTTCTATTGGAAGTAAAACACCTCAGATCTGATTTTATAAAATGTGGCAACCCACAGCTTCCACTCCGGGTCTAACGAAGGATGTGCAAAGCCTTTCTTTGTCATCTGGGGTCAGTAATAATTTCAGAGTTGGCGGCACTGTGTTACCACAGCACAGTACAAAAAGATTTCGGTGCCCCAGTGACAAGCGTTTCGCCTCCTGTTCTGCCCCAGTGTTTGAAGCAGGAGCGCTACGAAACCAAGGTGCCAGCTGAATCCATCACTCTCACTACTGCTTTCTCAATAAATGGGTTTGCCAACAAGCTGAAGGCAGTTTGTTTCATTTACTGTGAAAATCATCATATTTGACATCAGATTTGATAGGGTAAATTGTCCTAGCAGCAAGAATGAATATTTTTCATTGGCATTCAACAGACAAGGGGACAGGTTTGGTTTGCAGATGAGAAATCAAATGCTTTATTGCACTTCTTTGCAGACAAGTAAGGAAGACAGGGCTGAGAAAGACCATCTTGAGGTCACCTAGCACCATCTTCATGCAGAGAAGCGGAATGTTTGCTTAAAACTAGAGGTTCCCAGGTCTGCCCGCCCTCACTTCTCCCTGTTT